AGGAAAGCCCTTTTTTAGATGTATGTAAGAATTCTTCAGTTAAGGTTTGTGGTGATTTTGTGTGAATGTGTTCAAATAGGATCTTCTCCTTTTCCAACTTTTATCTAAGAAATTGTTTAAGAACTGTCATTTAGGGTCAGATTTGAAGCACATCTTGTCCTGGGAAACTAGAAACTCACTAAAATTAGCCACTACAATTAAAGAGAAACTTTTCATAATGGTCCTCTGTGCTCCCCTGTGAGCTTCTTTGTCACCTGAAATACACAAATACCTGAAACTTTCTTATCCACCTGCATGTTCCCACAAGAATTCCCATGAAACACTTTGGCCCACTGCGAGTAGCAACACCCCTTGCTTTTCATGTAGTTCATGTAATTCATGACTACCTTTTGCTCCATAATTTATGTGATCTTCTATGTTTATGGGCATTGTTTGAAGTCCATATTCAGTTTTAAATTTGGGAAAAAAAATCAGCACAGGTATCTGTTTCTAGATTTTATGCTGATTTGATCTAGAAACTCTTGTAATGTTCAGGGGTTTTTTTCCATTCCTGGCACTACTCTCAGAGTTGATGTACACAGGGTAACTTTTTCTTACACAAAACCTACTCTCTGAGTTGGCAGTAACAACAGAGAGCACCTCCTGAATCTCTGAGTCCTGGACATCAGACTGACTGGCACAGCTTGGATCAGATAATGTGAAAACTTAGCTGGGGATTATCAGGAGAACTGCACAAGATATCTGAAGAGGAGGTAGGTGATATTTGCAAGGGATACAACAGCCAAGTCACCTAGAAAATTACTGTAGAAAAACAAGTTCTACCTTATGTAACCTCCATTATGTCAAACAAGGAACCTACTTAGAACCAGATCCTGCTCCCTTTGAAATAACTGGAAAACTTTCCATTTGCTTCACTGTGGAGGATCAGACCCACAGAGAGTCTAGTTTGCCTCTGTAAACAGGATAAAGAAGCAAAAGAAACATCCGAGGCCACTTGTAAGAATTTCCTGGCAGTGTAGGTACCAATAATTAACAAGTGAAAAAAAAGCAACCTTAATCTTTATACAAAAACATTTTAATCCATATTTGCTTTCCTCTGTCCATACTTACTCCTCATGGACTAGAAAGAGAATTGTGAAATGTTTGGTAAACAGAAAGGACCTTGTTCTAGATTCTGTGTTCCATCCATATGCACTTTCTGCTTTGTAAGCTTTGCCCTGGAAGCACCTCTGGACTCAGCTAAAATGCATCATCAAAGCAGATCCTAAACCTTCCAGCTCTATAGACTGACATAACTTTGTACATCCTCTGGTGTCAATACCTTGGACAGGATTATGTTCTGTTGCATCCAATTGTGGATGAAGACTAGATGCATTCAGGTGGTCAGGTCCTGGCAGTGGTTTTGCTTATAACAGCATATTAATACCCTCTATGTAAAAGAAAATTCGTCTCTAGTTTCTGTGGCAAAATGCAATCTCAAAAATTTTGTTTACTGACAGAGAAGCTACTTTCAAGAGTTTGAATAATACAGGCTGTGACATTCAGAAAGGAGAATTTTGTCCTTAGCTGTCATAAGAAGCTAAGTTAGGTCAGTGTCTGTTTTGGTTTTTTTCTGTTCTGAGGAAAGGAAATAGCAAACAAGAAAACATCACTGTCAATAGCAACAAACCCCAAATTCAAGAAGTCCAGAAGTTTCTTGCCTATTTACAGCTCCCATCTTCATTTCTCAAAGTTTTTCTCCTGTCTGAGATGATAATCTCAGCAGTTCATAAGGGAAATGTGACCTAGATAATTTTGTTGAGGTGGGTAAATGGCCTGTTAAAAAAACCCCCTACACTGAAAGAGTAATTATTACTGGTTTGCTGCCTAAATAAGAAGTCAGAGGACATTTCCATTGGATCCTAGGGGTCTACTTTGAACCTTGCTGTATTTTCACAAACTTATGACCAGAGAAAATATGCATGAAATTGTGCAAGATTTCAAGCTAGGAATGATATACCATTTGGACATTGGTTTTACAATCTGCAGTTTTCTGGTATCCATTTGTTGCTATGACACTGTGGCATCTGTGACATCGCTTCTCACAGAGCTGCAGTTCTTACTGGCAGCCTCAGTGGAAAAACCAGAAGCTGAATGGGCTGTCATGACTGAACTGACAGATCCACAGATAAATTGATCATTGACAGATCATCTAGTAGTCATAGGTCATCTAGTCCCTTCAAAAGTGTTGAAAAGTGTTGGTTCAAAAGTGTCAAGAAATTTGCTATAATTTTCCCCATTATTTAGCCTCCATGTCATATCAGCCTAGAAGTGTTAGAAGCATTACAAATGGAACAGATTTCTGTCAGAGTGAGAGCAGACTTAGAAATTAACACAATCACGTCTTTTCTAAGACCTAAGTGCAGAATGATCTCAGATTTTGGGCCTATCCCATGGCAAACAATTACAGTTGTTTTCTACTTTTTGCTTTTGTTTTTGTTAACCACAGAAAATAAATACACCATAGGAGGATTCTGAACTCTTAAGAGACTGAAACTCATACTGCTTTAGCCTTTCTGTGGAAGTCTGTATTTTTCCAGCATTTTTTTTTGATTACTTGACAGCAGCCCAGAAGACATGAAGTTTTTCTGCCTTCTTGCTGTGATATCACCCATACCAGCCATATTAAAACTCTGCCTAAATATTAGATGTGGCCAGTGGATTAAATCAGATTATTTCTGGATGTGCAGTGTTTGTTTCGAACAGCAATTTTCCACGCCCTGTTTCAGTTACCATGTGACAAAGAGCTCCTTCCCTCTGCCAAGAAATTGCAGAATAACAAAGAGGGTTTTTTGCAGTGTAGTTTGGCTGATAGGAACTGTATCATTGCTGTTCACCCCTCAACAACAAAGGCCTTTTCCCCCCTGCATGTGGGCAAGGAGATTACAGTATTGTAAGATGCAAAGTTATACACTCTATTATAAACTTCCTCATGCTGCCTATGTAAAGTAAACCCTGAGACCTGTACCTATATGAACTCTCCCTTCACCACTACAATATCATCATTGGTAAGTATTAGATAAAATGTGAAAGGATCCTGTGGCTCTTCCACGAGTGGATTTTCATTGCATATTTGAGAAAGAGCTAGGGTGTAATAACTTGTATAGCTTGTATGACCTGGGAGTAGAATTTTTTATTTTGACCACCTAAGGTTTCTCACTTCTCTGGTTAGTACAAAAAATAGAACCTAAAGAAGGATACAGTAAGAACCTTGTAATTGTATCTGCAGAATGAGGATCAACTGCTCTCCATGATCATTGTGGGAGAGGAACAAGAAGGAATCACCCTAATTTGCAGCAGAGATTATTTAGGCAGGCACTAAAAAAGTGCTTTCAAAATGTCAAAATTGGAATAGCTACTGAGGGTTTGAATTTCCTTCACCAGAGATTCAAAAAATCTAGTTCAACAAGCATTCACTAGTGAATGGCTTAGCTATGCTTGATCATACCTGACGTGAGGATTCAGACCAGCTCACTTATGGGCTTTTCCAGACCTCATCTAGGATTTTGGAAGCAGTTAAAGCCCTGGAAGGCTCTTCTTCCTTTTTCCACAGCTGTTTGAATCCTGCTTAGGCAAAGACTTGCTAATATCTGTGCCTGTACAAATCATGTGCTTCATCCACCCTCTTCTCTCCTGGGATATGAGTCACTCATGAAGTGCATTTCATTAAAACTATTTCACCTTCTGCCCCATGAAGTCACTGATGGCACAAAAAGATTCTATTCCCTTGTGATCAGTGGGAAAAAAATATCCTGTCATAGTTTACAGTGGTTATGCCAGTAATATACACAATATTGTGTTGTCCTTTTCTGATGGGTAGTGTTTACTCTTCTACCAGCTGTATTCATTTATCAAATAGATGAATAACATCTATTCAAATAGATGTTATTCATCTATTTGATTTCACTGTGTGTATATTTAACAGTTTGCAGTAGGGAGGGTGCACTCTTTAAACAGCTTTTCTCCACACAGTTATGATTGAAGTGAGTATAAATCATCTGAATCCCATAGTATCACCTAGTGTAGCTGAATCTTGGATTTATACCACAGGTGGAACAGATTCAGAAATGATTTTGCAAATATTGTATAAGTCATACAGTCCTAATTATCTGACAATATCTACCTCTGAACCTAGAAAAGTTGAAAGGAAGAAAATGAATACACATTCCAAAACATAATAAACCAAAATGTCAAGTGTACCATATATCTAAAGGGATAGAAATTAGCTTAGGATGTTTTTCTTGAGTCTATTACATCAAGGTGCACCAGGGACTAAAGTTCTAAGGGTTATTTGGGTTTCCAAAATCCAATGCAGACACAGACAGCCTTCTGGAACCAGTGGAAGCATTGACTGGCTTTAATTCCATCTGGGGTGTATGTGTTTAGATGTACCAGGATATTTGCCTAGCTTAATCACCCTGTGACTGTTTTTTATGTAATACTTGCAGATAAATCAATCCTGAACACTACTGTCTATGTAGTGAAAGTAACAAGAAGTTTGAAAACCTAAAAGTGAAGGCTGAAACCCTAAGTATGACAGAACTACTCATCTCTCACAAACTCAGAAAATCTGAGATTCAAGATCTGATGCTGAAATTCTGGTCAGGGCAGACTTTGAATCAAAGATATTTGTTCAGTTCTGTGCAGGCATATAGGGAGATTTCACTCATTATATTGGGGTTGAATCTCTGTTTCAATTACAAAGGCCTTTTCCAATTTATAGGCATTCTGAGGTCCAGAGTTTTTAGCAATGCAATTAATACACATGGAACTGCAGGAAGGATTATAGGATATATTTTCCCAGAGTGGTGTTGGTTTCACTGATGTGGATTGACAGAGCTGCCCTTTTTTCAGGTAGGCTTAGGGAGGCTGAGACAGGATGATGCACAAAATATACAGTCAGGCTGAGACAGCAGAAAGAAGTAACAAGTTTAGTAAACTGGTGAATGTTTAGAACTCACCATGTTCTCCATGACTCCTGTCCTGTTGGCAAGCTGGCATTCCTCTGCATGCCCATTGCAAAAGCAGCTTCCCCGGATGATCAGGTCATAAATAGCATAGTGGGCAAATCTCTGAGGTTTCTCTATCAGTCCTGAACCATGGCATGGACATTCCTGTCTTTTTAACAAAAGGAGGCGGAGGTTGGTGAGTTTCAGGAGATCTTGAGCCTCAGGACTATAAGGGTCTTCAATCCTGTTAGCTGGACTTAAGGCACGATAGATCACCTGAAAGAGAACATAGACATCCCAGAGTAGATACAGGACTCTGCATACACAGCAAATATCCCAAGACAATGTTCACAAAAAAAAAAGAATAGTTCCTATTTAGAAGACTCTGCATAAGCAGTTGTGGGGCTGGGGCAGATCCCAGAGCATCACAGCTGAGTTACCACCAGTTGGCCAAGCCACAGCAAGAGACTGTGTAGCTGCTTTCATCCCATCTCAGGCATGAGATAAGAAATGCCTTAGTTTAAACATCTCTCCCTGGGGTTAGTGAGCCCTGTTACTTCTGGAGTTTAGTCAATATGTGGTAACTTGTCAAGAGATGGTTACTTCCTTGTTTTTCTGAGCCAAATGACAACAGTATTACTCAGAGAAATCCAAGGTTTATTGCATAAATGTAGTGTAAATGCCATCCAGATTTCTCAAAGCATTTTAGAAGCATGACTTTAGCATTAATTCTAGAGTCAGGTAAACTAAGGCACTAAAGGGATCTCTGAAAGAAGTGGAAACAGTGATCAGACTTGGTCACCTGAACTACGTGTGCTAGAAAACACAACTTGGCTAGGGTGAGTGAGCACTGAGAGAACCTTGTCTGCAAACAAAGCCAGGTGGTTTACTCCTTAGAAGTAACTACAGTGCAGTGAGCTCACAGGACCAAAGGTGCTTCCTGCCTAGTGGCTGTCTGCAGGTTGTTATAGAACCACAGAGTTGTAGAATTTCAGGGGTTGGAATGGACGTTATAGACCATCTAGTCACAGCCCTTGCCATGGCATGGACACCTCCCCACTAGACCAGGTTGCTCAGCATTTATGTTGTTGGATAATTCTTCAGTGCAGCAACACTTTGGTTTTGAGCATCACACTTCTAATTTGGTGTTTAACAGTGACTGTTATATTTTATCAGCAGGACATGTTGTTTTTTACCATTCTACCCTCCTCTATCAGGGTGTTCTTGTTTCTATTGCTTTTGGGAAGAGGTTGCTAATGGAGGATGTCAGTCCATGCCAGTGAACTAGAGAGCTGGTTGCATCGTTCCCAAGCTTAGATGTGCTCTATGAATATGCTAACTCAAACTTGAGAGCTGTTTTCTCTTTTGGTTGAGCTTTTCCATCATGGCAGAGGGACTTTTTCCCTTGGGGTTCTTCGGCCCTGCTTTATAAATTTCTCTGACTAACTCTGCTAGAGCAGTGAAAGCTTTGTTTCCATAGGGATTCCCTCTTTCTTTCTTTCTAGTGAACTGACCAATTTAAATATAAAGTATGTAAAATACTTTTGGGTTTTTTTTGCTTGCAGGACACAAAAAAAGAGCTTGTGGTATATGCCTAGAAGATAGTTGTCTGGCATGTTGATGGCACATGAGGAGACAAATCCCCTTAAGCTAACAGATTCAGCTGCCAGGCTTTGCACAGAGCTACACCTGGCAGTACAACAGCAAAGGCAGTGGTACATTTCCCACCTGTTCACAGCATTTTCTATTTGGTTAGCTCTGTTCTTTTTTCTTTTAATTCTCTTCTCCTATCTTGTCAGCTACTTACAAAGCTGCAATTGGCCCTGCTTGGGCAGATCAGAGATGCCCATATTTCCTTGTCTGATAGAGCTGTGGGCAGATTGCCCAGGCTGTGCAATGCAGGTGCCTACATTCCCCTGACCAATGAAGCCATGACAAAATAGCCCAGGCCTTTCCACCCCAATGTCTACATTCCCCTGGTCAATGGAACCATAAGCAAATGGCCCATTCTGTTTTGCCCAGGTGCCCAGCATTCCCCTTACTGATGGATTCACAGGGCAAAGACCAAATCTCTCCTATCCAGTTCCCCTAATCCAGGATGATCTGATCTTTTTAGTGGAAAATATTATATCAACCTCTGCTTCACAGTCCTCCCTGGACCACACTAAGGTGGAGTGGTTTCTCAAGAGTCCTGAGCACCTGGCCGTGTACAGACACACTTATCTTCCTCCCACATGGTCAGTTAAATGTAGTGAGCTGGATGGAATTATTCTGCAGAGCCTGCTAAGCTCAGAGGTCTCAAAAAAAGAAGGGTTAAAAAGTAACTACTGGAATATTAATGGCTAAAAGTCTTTGTGAAACTGTTTTAAATTGGCATAAAACAGAGGAATCAAGGGTAAAGCAGTTTGTTCAGTTGCTGGTTTTTATAAGCTCTATTCTCACACTTAGCTTTCTTGTCTTTGGCTTCCCTAATATAGATGCTTGGTAAAAATGGCATGCCCTCTTAGGATGGCTCTCCAGAGCATACCTACCAGATCACTGGCTTGAGAAAATAAACACTAGAGGTTCTTTGCTCCAGAAAAAAGGACAGCCAAAAAAAAAATATGTCATTAGGTTCTGCAAGATCCACACTGGTCCTGCAGTGGCCTCCTTACAGGAGGCTGGGCAAGAGGCTTAATGTCTCTGTGCCCCAGACATCCCAGTTGTGAACAGATATGGATCTCCTAACAGGAGACAGAGCAGGAGGGTGAATGAGGTGAAGAACAAGAGTTTTTACTGGGCCTCTCTGAAAGAAATGAGCAGATAATGGCCAAAGTATTTCTTTTTACTCTGTGTCTCTGGCACTCTACTTCTGCTTGTTGCCAACAGACCTGCACTGTGCTATGTTAACTGTGGAAGGAAATCCTGTGCACTACTAGAAATCCATTCTGTACATGGCATGATGTCTAAAGAGATGGATTCATATTTTGGGATCTCCAGTCAATTATCCATCCTCCATCCATGTCTTAATTGGCATTCAGATAGCATTGAGTTCTTCAGGCAAAAGAACAGCTGCTGGGTGCTCTTGTCTCAGCATAGGCCATTTGCTCTCCAAAGCTGTACTGTTTATTGTTTCTTTGCTTGACAGCTTGGAAAAAGGTTTGGTTTCCTGTGGGTTTATTGTTTTGCAAATGTTTTCATTTCTGGCCTTGTGTCTCTTGAGAGGAGTTGCTTTGGCATTTTCCATATCCCCTTAGAAGGCTGAACATTATTTGTGAGTAGAGACATTAATAGCTTGGAAGTCCCATAAGGATTATGGCATCCTTTTAAGCAAAAACAGTATTCCATTCCAGCTGAGGTACAAGAGTTTGCTTGTATGATTAATTTATGACACATTTCTGTCTGGAATAAGCTCAGTGGTGAGACTGGATTTGTTTGTCCTTATCTCTCCCAAGGCAAAACTTGTTAAGTGTCAAAGATCTGATTTGGGTGACATAACACTAGTGAGGTCTTTTGGGAGTGGCACTTACATGTTCTTCTTGGATTCAACAACCACTAAGGAATTAACTAACCTTCCTTAACTTTTTAAAAATCAAAGATATTGAAGACTTAGTTAAACAAAGGCGTTTTGTATCAGGAGAGACAAAGCAAATATGCTGTGCCAGTAGAAGTAGGTTTGGGTGAGCTGCAATTTGCACCAAGACTGAGGTTTTCTTTTTTAATTAAATCAGTTCAGCAGCATTATTTTATATATGGAATTTCCCTCTCTTCCCTTCTGGATTATCACATTTTCCTTGAGGTACTGGTGGTTAAAACCCTTGAGCACAGAGAAGAATATAATGTAATCACCATCTCTTGCCTCATTTTAATAGTTGATTGAATGTTTCTTCTCACATGAAAGTGCCAGTCATTAGACCTTCCTTAACACACGTATTTCCCCAATGTTGAGAACAATATGTTAGTGTCCATAATTTATACTTATTAGTCTACTTTAGGTATTGAGTCAAATAATTCTAGAGTGGGAATAATTGTTTACAAAGAACTGATACCTCACCTTACGTGCCCTGATTGGATTTCCATAAATGCATAATTTACCTAAAAATCATAAAAAACACCCAACAAAACCAAACCCCTAAACCTCTGCTATGTACTAGAAATATATTATTATATTTTAAATTAATGTACTTGGGTTTATGGTTCCTTTAAGGAAGAACGAATCCTAAATCCAGATTAGTGGGTTGATAATTTTATATGATACAGGGAAGAAGGAGAAGGTGTCACTGTAACCAAAACACAGAGTTGGGAATGTGCTATTTGGTCACAGACTCAGCACAATTGTTCAGTATAATGTCCAACAAGTAACTTATGATGGATTTCCAGTGAACTCAGTAGGAATAGGAGAAATCTGGTTTATGTCCTGCTTTCCATTTTCTAAGATGGGATACAGGTATTCAAGTACTTTGTGGAATGAGAGGAAGATGAATAAATTTGTACTATAAGATTCTCTGAGAATTCCTGAGATGGATGTTCAATACATACAATTTTAACCAGTATAGGTAAAAGATAAGAGTTTGGCTGTCTCAACTGTTTCTGCATAAATATTTTAAAGATTAGATTATGAATGGATCTAAGCATTAGCAAACTCCTAGAGTCATGACCTGTAGGAATAGACATTCCATCTTTTCATTGTGTTATTTGTTCCTCTTTTTTTGAGCTCACAACATTTGTATTTCTAAAGCCTATGAAGCAGATTCCTTCTATACACATAAGACGTTTGACTTCTGCCTTTTGCAGAAGGGCAGACATATTAATTTTTCCTGTCCCTGAGATAGTGTGTGAATTTTCAGGTTTCCATTATATTAACATGAAAGACATGAAGAAAGTATAATGAAGAAAAGTGTTTTCTTTCAAGATGCAAATTTTGGAAAGAGCTTCCCATGATGTTTACCATAAAGCTATTTCTCATACAATTAAATCTCTATCTGGTATCAAGCTCTGTTCTTTTTTTTGCTGTAACAGACTGCTCTGAAATCTCCCAGTTGTTGCCCTAAACACCAGGGCAGCTGTGATGAAAGTAGTCTATGCACAGCTTCAGAAGAAAATCTAATGTTGAGTCTGCTAAGGGACACCCTAGATATCTTTCCACATCCCCTGAATTGGGTGGAAGTTGAAGGTGGTCAGCACATCTATAGCTTAACCCTTCATAGAAATACAGCCTAGATCCTGAGTTTCCCTTGCAGTCAGGAGCTGACACTGGAGCTGAAGGCTGAGTAGGACGTTCATGCTTATCTGCACAT